AACCCTTTACATGAAATCCCAATAAGTCAGGTAAAAAAAGGGAAAAGAGTCTAACTGATGCTGAAGGCTGTCTAGCAGAAAAGGCCTTTTCACAGTTGGCAGCTTGACATTGATTCTCCCTTGGTTTCTGGAACTTGCTCCTCACAGCATGGCTTCATCTGATGGATGCTGTAGTCCCAAGTAGAGCCATGTATATTGTATATTGGTGTATAGTGTATATTTTTCACATAAGTGCTGGGCTCAATATAAAACAAATCTGGTTTAGACTGTAGAAAAGTAGCTCACAGGAGTTTTGAAAAGAAAAGATCAGCAGCTTCACGGAGTTGATGGTCTTTGTCAGCAGGCAGTAATTTACAGTTACCAGAGCAGCTCTCTTCTGTCACTGCAGAGGAAAAAGTTCCATCCATACCAGTGTGGTTCTAGTTCTCAGAAGTCAAAAACCAAAACAGTTCAATCCAATTTCCACATTCTGTGGCTGTAACAGAGTGCAGTTGTTTGTGCCATTGCAGGTGGTTTTGGTACCTCTTACTCTGTGACTGACCCTGTGAAAGTGATGGGTCCTTGGAAACTCAGAGACCCATATGGCAATTTCATGTGGTTGTCCTGGGTACTCAAAAGATAGTATATGGTTTTGTGCCATAATTATCTCTTTCATAGAAGCCAAATCAGACCATGCCTGTATTCCCACAACACATTTTTTCCTGCCCTTTCTGTAACTATCGGGTGTCACTAAAGGACATGAAATGATTCACACTACTACCTTCAGTGTTAGAACAAAAACCTGTGACTTTATTTTCTGACTCCAGTATTTATAGATTCTTGACAATGACCAGGGATTGGATATTTAAGTTACCACCTTCCCAAGCACACTGGTCATGCAAAATGTCCATCAAAAAACGTTTCTCAGAAGGAATGTGTAAACAATTTATGTTTACAGGACTCTCATGGGAAAGTAACTATGAAAACATTATCAGAAGGTTTAATTTTCAGGGTGACAATCAGGTGTCTACTGTCTGTCATTAATGAAAAGTCCAGGCACCTCAGTCCATTACATAATGTCACTGATGTAGGGAAGCAGAGTGAATGCCATTTAATGAGGAGGGACTGAAGTTCAGCATGAAGAAAATTGAAAAAAGAGAGACTCAAACTCATTTCCAACCAAATGTCCAACTTTGTTTCTTACTCTGATGATGATCTTTTGTTGGTGATTAATGAAAGATGCTGAAATGATCAATAGCAGGATAAAATGACAAATGGTCAGACCAAAGGCTTATGCAGTTTGGTACTCTTGTGTGTGTATGGAAGAGTGAAAATATTTGTATAATGAAGGCTAAGAACAAGATAAACATCTGTGATATTGGGTGGAATTTTCAATAATTTTCAGCTCAGAGGCCCTCTCTGCCAGAAATGATTGTTGCTTCCTCCCCATTAACATGCTGGGGTTTTTTTTCTGTGAAACCATGCAACAAAATTTCCTGCACAAACTTCTTTGGCAAAGAACAATCCCTTATTGGCTGATCCCCTTTACTCACCTCTTTGGCAGCTCCTTCAAAGGCCTATCGCAGATTTCTAAGGCAGGATTTATACTAATAATAGCTGCACTGACTTTCAAAAATACATCATATATATGCAGGCATCCTCTGTTCCTATTTTTACTACAATTCCTAATTTCTCTGTTAGTTGTGTCAATTTTAGACATCAATATCTTCCTTGATCTCCTGTACAGAAAGGGATATTGCAATTTTTCAGTTCCAAAGTGGTTTTAAGGGAGAAGTTAAGGTTTCACAGAAGGCTATTCAAGAAATTCAGATTTTTAATTTGCACAAGTTCATCTTGATAGTATTTGAATGCCTGGCACTGATGCCTTAAGTGATTGTGATTAGTATCTATCATGTGATGGTTACTCTTCACCCCTGCATTAGAGTGAACTGTGTTCCTTGGAAAGGTTTATTTTGCTACAGCTTTGTCAGTTTCGGTTTTGTTTAGCTTTGTTTTCTTAGAAAAATGCACGTGTTATTCTATATTTATTTTAGAGAAGGCAAGGTTAGAGAGACAAAATAAATATTCCGTAATTATTTTAGAGAGACACAGTTAGGTCGAGGGAGCTCATTCCCTCACAGGTTGACCAGTTCTCCTTCCACAGATAAGCTTTGCCCTAGTTTTAGAGAGGTTCAGTTGCAGCAGAAGAGCAAACTTACCAAGTGCAAGGTTTTATTGAGGGCTTTAAGCAATATTTAAGATACTTTGGACTCAATATGAGAATTATTTGAATGACTGATCCCATTGTGAACTCCATTTTTGTTGTGTTTGAAAAGACAACATGAGATCTGAAGGAAAAGTCTGATTTCTCATGGTCAGTTCTACTATATGAAGCACTGTGTGAATCTCTGGTGTACAATGTACACCAGATACATCACACTAGTGATAATGGAGTAAACAGCTGCAGTCAGTCACAGATAGGCATGAAACACATTTCAGCCAACTGCAGAATCCATGTGGAAGTCCTCATGCAACAAATCAGCATTGACTGGGAATGACTACTCCACCAGCAAAGACCAAGAGGACCATGCCAGGGGAGGTAGGTTTGTGCTCCAGACTTTAGTCCTGTGACACACCAGGTTCTCTCCTCACATGGGCTCTGCCTGTGGTTTCAAGTTCACAGAACATGGGTAGGCTGAGAAGTTAATGCTGAGAAGTTCAGCAGAGGGAGCTTTCTCATTAATATTAATCTGTGTTCTGGTATGTCATGGGGTGCCTGAACAACTGCATTCCTGGTGTTAAGGAACAGACTTTATATTCATGCTAGCACTCTTTGGGATGCCCTGAGCTGCCACCAAAAAGGCTATTTCAAACTAGTATGAAGTTTTTTTGTATTGAAGAGGTGCTTTCTAGCCCTGCTGGTTCAGGTGCCTCTGCTGTGGTCATTTTAAATGCTCTCAGGCTGAAGCTGAGCAACAGAAACCAATAAAAACCAACAAAGTACTCACTAGGAATTCGGTATGAAGGAGGGCATCTCAGCTTGCTGGTGCACTCGTAGATTTTTTCAGGCATGCATCCAGTATTAAACTCAGACTCTTAATTTCCTTTAAGCTATGATTTCATGTGTCTCAGTTTATTCATAGGTACTCAAAAAGTTTAAAAGTCTCATACAGTCCAGAAACTTCCTAATGGCCCAGACAGCTCCATAAAGCGAATAAGCGCTGGTAAAGTAATAGCAACCGTAACAGCTGCAGATTGCTTCCTAGAGATTTATGCCCTCCCTTCAGAGCACAAAAGCAGGCAGAGGTGGCTGGGTCACCCCTTTTGCATCAGGGGTGCAGACCCTTTGCAACCTACAATGCTCCTCCAAGGTATAGCTCTTTTCTCCCACCTGAGCCAGTTATAAGGGGGCTGTGCAGTTTAATACGAGGTGTAAGAGATAAACCAGGTTTTAGTTCCTTTCAGTCACTGGAACAGTGCAGCCACTGGTGTGCTACTGACAGCATTCCCCCAGGCTCCTTGGCCTGGTTACAGCTTGGCTAGCTACAATCTGCCTACTTTCTGTCTCCCAGGAGCTCTTGTTGGCAGCATTATCCTTTTTCCACTTCTTGTCCTAATTTAGTTGGGTTATCTCGCTGTGCACTGTTAAATGCTACCACAATCCATATCAGAGGTGGCTATGTGTCAGGTTTGGGTGAAGCAGACTCTCATTAGGGTCCCTTGTCTTCCAGGCTTTGCTCCTGTGAATAATCCAGAGGTGTGTAATTAGGCTTTCAGAGGTCCAGTAGTCCACTGGGTAATGCACTCAGAAGAATAACATCACTCAAATGGCCTAGAGTTTTATGCACATCTACACAAAATCCTTGCAGGAAATGTGCAGTCTTTGTTTAAATTTGCTGTTTAAACCAATTAGAGAATAAACATAACATTGCGGGGGAAAAGTGAGAAAACTGAAGGGATTTATCTTGCTTGCTCTGAAACCATTAAAACCTTGAAGCTTTGAATATTCCTGTATACTGAATAATGATATCCACAGCCTTTCAGCTCAATCAGGGTTAAGTGGAAGTGAGAATTAAAAATGCAGCCCACTGGGCTTGTGTGTAAATGAATTAAAACCAGTAGAGCAAAGATTACACTGTTTTTAGGAGTTTTGCACAGATATACAATTTATAAAGATACTGATAAAGAACTTGGAGAAAATATTTTTTAAATAAAGTCAAAATACTTGTATGTCTCTTTTACTAGTAGACATCCACTTTTCTTCCCTCCTCATGTCTCTGGGCTAAGCAGCTCATTAGTGTTCCACGGTGAGAGGTGCCCATCTGAAGGCAAGACAGAGAAGGTGAATTATCCTGGGGCTACCTTTTGCTCTGCTCTGGCTGGGGAGCAGGCTTTTATTCATCAATTGACAGGATGGAGTGCAGGCACCCTATCTAAGTAAATAATGGCAAAGGCATCTAAATTTCCTGCATGTGATATAAAATATAAACTTGATCTTTCATTCTTGAGCAACAAGGCACAGCAGTTCTGAGTTTCATCCAACAGGAACTTTTTACAATACATATGCACATATTTAAAAATTGCACAACTTCTAGGTAAGTTATACATGCTTCTGTTTTCAGATGCAGTCAATATCTACACTGGCAAGAGATTTTAAAATTTTGATATATGGCTGTGATGGCTGCGTTTGTAGAGAGAAATGCCTCCTTAAACACTGCACTGTCAAAGTAATATCCACAAATCGTTCAGCGCCCATCACTGGCAGATAGTAAATATTTTATACCTTACTGAAAAATAATATTTCTTCTTCTCAAGTATTGCTCATGTGTTCCCTTTGGGCAACTCTCAGAATATCCTTTTGGGATTAATAAAAACTAATAGTTCTCTTTATGCTTTTAGAGCTTTCATCACATGGGCTCCCCGAAGCACTTCCACGGCAGCAATCCTAGTCACTTACTTTGAAAAACAAATATGCATTAAGGGGAGCATAGGGAAAGTAAAACTTCTTTCCTCTGTTCCAGCATGAAGATGTCACCTATGCTGTGTGCAGGACTGCCAGTAGCACGGATGGTCTCTCTGCAGGGGTGGCATGGAGGAACAGCCCTGCATCAGAAAGATGTTTCAAAACACTGTACAAAGAAAATGAATGGTGTGCCTGGGGTAGGCTGCTAGGCTCAGAGGAAAGGCTATGAATAAAGGTATCATATATCCTTCTGTTTTTAATCCACACTATTGTTATTTACCACAAACTGATCTATCTTTTTATTTTTATTGCTTCATTTGCAGCTGGATTGAAATTATTTGGTTTAATGATAATTTTTGCTTCAGGAACAGATGTGCCTTACATTGTTTCAGATAAGACTGACAACCAAGCAGGATTGTTGGAGGAGCATTCTGGCTAGCCCATAGGCACTTCTGCCTTCTCTACTTTCAGGTTGCAGGTTGTTGATGATGCTGGACCAAGCTTCATTTGCCATTGTTACAATTTTACGAAGGAGCAGTGTGTCATTATGTCCCTGGAAGCTGGATGTTATAAAGGGAAGAATAGAAATAATAATAATAATAATAATAATAATAATAATAATAATAATAATAATAATAATAATAATAATAATAATAATAGTAACAATACTTCTGGAACACTCTGACAAGGGTCTCATATTCTTCCCTTGAGCTATTCCTCCAAACAAAATTTCCAGTATGTATTCTTCCCTTTCAAATGTCTAATGGAGTGTTGAGCCAGCAAGACTGCTGGGAAGTTCGAGTTTCTGCCTGCACAATGGCAGCAGTATCTGTGCTGTCAGAATTAACTCTCCATTTTTTCCTGCTCATGCTGAAAAAGAACTTTCTAACATTTGAAAAATATACTGTGTGCTCAGAGATCTTATGTTTCTTTGCTGGTTTAGCTCAGGCAAAGCTGATTAAAAAATTCAATTCTAGTGTCATTGAAATAACTAGTGATACCTCAAACACTCATATCATGAAGGTCTATTTTAAATACATGATTTCATGGTGTGTGGAAGGATAAGCACAGAAGATCACTGCTTGGCTAATGAGGTGATGGGCACTGCATAAAACCTGAAAAGAAGAAGCATCAGCCCAGCTCTATAGATATCTCCAGACTAGATTGACACAATACCTGCTGATACTGGCACTTGTCCAGTAAATCCACCTTTGGCACTTACCCAAGAAATTTCATCATGGTTTGTGGGGTTTTGCAGCTGAAAAGGAGAACAGGATCTTGCCCATTTTTATTACACACCTAATTTCTGTTGAATGGTGGGTTTTGTGATTTATTTTTCAGCCAATGCACAAAACTGCATCAAAACATCAGATAAGTGAATTGGTAGTTTTTGACCTAAGCTGCTGGACAAAGAAGGTTTATACAGATCTGTAATATCCATTTTGACCTCTCTGCCTTTGATGGTAATAGCACATGTTCAGCATGAGCTCAGTTTTTAATATATAAATGGTCCCCTTGGGGATCTGTTCTAAAGAAACTTGGGCTTCTCAGTGATGGAAAGAAATGTTTTTCTCTTTAAGGGAGAGAGGGAAGCAGGTAAGAAGGAGTAGTCTGCTCCTTGGATATGGAAGGCACATGTAACTACGAGATGCCATTTATCATTATTTGATATATAGCAAAATACAGTAATTTCACTTAGCAGCAGGTTTTAAGAAGATTAAACATGCTAGGAAAATTGTTTTAGAATAACAGTGTAACAGGATATTGTAAATTATTTTGCAGTAGGCTGTCATGCTATGTCACCATAATTCTTCAATATTTAATTAAAACCCACAGCAAATTAATATTCAGGTCCTGTCAAGAAAACTAATTAGATACAGGGACCAGCTGCTGGAGAAGTTGGGATGTCAGCTTCAGATGGTAAAGTGAATGGTTCACTCTGTCTTGTGGGTACATGTTTAAAACACTCATCATAGTATCACAGGATTACAGAAACATGGATAGAATAGTTTGGGCTGAGAGGGACATGAAAATCACCTAATTGCAATCCCCTTGCCATGAGCAGGAACACCTTCCACTAGACCAGGTTACTCAAAGCTCGATCCAGCTTGGTTTGTACCCTTACAGGGATGGGGCATCCAAAAATTCTCTGGGGAACCTGTGCTAGTACCTCATAGTGAAGATCACCATGGACTTATGGACAAGACTGGTTTCATTTATTAAAAAGCCTTAGCATTTAGCAAGAAAGATTTATCTTTAATGATAAAATATGATCTAAACATGATAAAATATGAACTAAATCATTCTTAGTTCAGAGACTAGAGGAATTTTTTTAAGCAATTCTCAGATGATGCTCTGTGATAGAAAGTTCTGCTCTGGAAAATGTGGCAGCCACTAGTGTCCATGGTTTTAGGCAACTCTGCTTCTACATACCCAGTAGACCTTCAGTTTCTTCCCCTACCTCTTAGATTAAGCTCTCTCAAGGTAAGGATGGATACTTCAAATCACTGGTCCCCTTTTTAGCATTGTAATCCTTGCACTGGTCTGAGCCACCACTTAAATCAGGCTACATAATTATGGTGAACTGTAGTACCCATTGGAATGGGGCCAGCCACACTGACCAGGTTTCATGCTAAATAATGGAAGCCCTGACATCACAATGAATCACACTCCACTTCAAGGTGATATTTTATAGCTCTGCAGTCTCAGAGCTGTGTATGTTTTTTAAAAAAAATAAGTTTTAAATTACTAGGGCTTTCTACAGCTCATTTGTAAACTCACAAGTACAGGGTATTGCAAGGCATCTGCACTTCAGTGTTTATCAGAACCTAGAGCACTGTTTGCAAATTGCTCAGGAATAGGAAAAAAGAAACTATGAAAACTGGCATAAATGGGATTTATAAATATTGTGTTAGTATGTGCTATGTAATTCTCCTACTCTTGCAGTCCTACACAATATCCACAAAGATCCTCTCTTTTCTAGTAAAGTGTTGTGATTTTTTTTCCATCATTGATTTATTTTGAAGTGCTGAACTCCAACACTTTTGTTGCTAGCTAGCAATTAAGATGAAAACACTGTCCTTTCTGAGAACGGCATTTATTCAGGTAATATGGAGACCTGACACAGTTTTGCTCTTTTACTCGGCAGTTGTTTGCAAAACCATAGAAAGGAACTCTATTTCATTGCCTTAAAAATAAAGAAAGAGAAAAAAAAAGAACAAAGAAAGAAGAAAAGGCAGTAAAAATTTAACTTACAAGGAGATGAGAAATGGGGTTTGCAGGGAGCCAATGTCATGCTGTGTGGAAGCTAATATAGCAAATTCAGAGTAAATGCAAATGTATTGTGTCAGGCAAATTAGAAATGGTTGAATTAATCTTGAATAAGTGACCAACATTGTGCTGCTTCTGACTGGGTTCTTCACTTGATGCTGATTTCTGGTTATGCTCTTTTTGCTATTTAAGCAGATTCTTCTGTGGGTTAATCCTGTGAATACCTTAACTGTTTGCAGACATCAAGAATTCTCTTAACACAGTGATGAAATGACAGTTCCAAATGGGTCAGTGCTGAACCCCAGCAGGAGTCCTTGCCCTGGGACTTGCTCCCAGTTCCTCTGAGACTGTCAAGGACCTCAGCCTAGGCCTTGATGGCCTGGATCCAGCCTCGGGGACCTCTGCATGCTCTGCTGAGCCTCATGCTCGTGCTCAGTTTCAAGGTGCTGGTCTCATGGCCCTTTCCCAATGGCTGGGAGACACAAACACCTATGCAATGGAAGAGTTCCAGGTGGGCAGAAACCACATGATTTGCCTGGCTGAGAGCTCTATCATCCTCATCTAGAGAGTGATGCTGGGTGAGCTGCAACACCAAGTGGGTAACACTCATTCCTGCTTATATCCTTTTTTCTGTCTTGGTGGTCAGGGCAGGGTCTCTCTGCAGGCCAGTGGCACAAATGCCCTGGAGGCAGGGAGAACAGCTGTCCTTGTACCCTGTAATGACAATAAGCATCCATGAGATGGACAGTAAGTGTCCTCTGAACTTTTATCCCATACTGAATTCATTGGAGGAAGACAAACATCTTTTTAGGCTTTGGTACCACATCAGGTAGCAAACACCTCCTCTTGTAAAGCTTGTTCTGCCACAGAGGACAGTGTTGCTCTGCACTGTCTTAGTGTATGTCTTCCACTTGCAATTCCTGCTAATTTAATGAATTATTTAGCTGTGCCATGCTCACAGGCTCATGCCAAAATGGTAATGGAATTCTGCATTGGCTACGGGTATATCCAGATGTTCACAATTTTTCTCTCTCTTTCTACACAGATTTTATGTAAATTGCAGGAAGAGCAGCGCTGCCATCACCACCTTCTCCATTAATAAATCCTGTAACAGGCTCCATGCCTGTACAACTCAGTCCACAAGGGACAAGCTGCTGGGTGTGATCCCTACTCTTTGTGAGTTAAGGATGCTCAGTGGTGGGAAGGTAAGGGCCAGTGGGGTCTTTTCTTCACTCACCTGCTCCTGCTGGTGTAAATCACATGTACCCACCATCAGCAGGTCTACACTGAAGTGTTGTCAGGAGAGAACCAGGCTCAACAAACTCAGGAAGAATTAGATAAGCAAAAAGTTAAAGGGTGATCAGAAGGTGATGACAGAAGCACAGCAGGAAATCCAGAGCTGTAGTGTGTGCAGTTTTGCAGAAACTTTTTTCTTTTTTTTTTCCTAGGTATTGCTTTTCCAGTGTTGGTGTAATTTTACTGAGTACGTAGCTACAGAGAGAAGACTTGGCCTCACTCTCTCTGTTTTCCACTATTCAGTCTCCTCTTCAGAGGATTTACTTGTGATTTACACTTGCAGAAGTGAGAAGAGATTCAAGCTGTGCTCATGCAATTATACCAAACTGGGGAGAGAGGCCAGCAGAACTGAATTTGGTGGATTTTGGGGCTGGGGCTATTTTTGCACAGCTGTTCTCCCTGCTCAGCCATTCAAACCACTCCACAGTGAGACAAAGCTGATGCAGCCATTCTGAAGTCCAAGCAGTTTCAGTTCAGGGCTGCTTTTCAACTCATAATAACATCCATGCTGCAAAAGTATTTAAATATGAGCTTTATTTTTATCAACTTCATTGCAGTAGTTAAGCTTCAGTATGTGCTTAAATGTTTTTCTGAAGTGGGTCCTCAGTTTGATAGCATTTTATACATGACATCAAAGTTAATAAGCATCAGGCCCACTACTCAAGAGTGTGAGAGTTACCC